TCAAAAGCTAGGACACTAGGGGTAGCCATGACGACGACAGCGAAGCAGTGCAAGCAGTAGGGGAAGAGCACGCAGTGACAGTGCGACCGTGCTCACCAGGCAGGGCAGGCCGGGAAACTCCGCAGAAGGGCGGCTCGGCGACGCAGTGACTCGGCTGCTGGGCGGCTCGGCTCCCGGGCGGCTCGGCGGCCGGGCGGCTCGGCGGCAGGGCGGCTCGGGTGCAGGGCGGCTCGGCTCCCGGGCTGCTCGGCGGCAGGGCGGCTCGGGTGCAGGGCTGCTCGGCTCCCGGGCGGCTCGGCGGCAGGGCGGCTCGGGTGCAGGACGGGGCCGGGACAGGGGACGGCGGGGCCGTCAGGGTGCAGCGGCGGGGCCGTGACAGGGGACGGCGGGGCTGTCACGGTGCAGCGGCGGGGCCGGCAGGGTGCAGCGGCGGGGCCGGGATAGGGGACGGCGGGGCCGTCAGGGTGCAGCGGCGGGGCCGACTGGTGCAGTGGCGGGGCCGTCAGGGTGCAGCGGCGGGGCCGTGACAGGGGACGGCGGGGCCGTTAGGGTGCAGCGGCGGGGCCGACAGAGGTGCAGCGGCGGGGCCGACAGAGGTGCAGCGGCGGGGCCGACAGAGGTGCAGCGGCGGGGCCGGCAGGGTGCAGCGGCGGGGCCGGGAGTAGGACGGCGGGGCCGTCAGGTGACGGGGCCCGCTGCAGCGACGAAGAGGCCGCGCGGCCGGCGTGAGGGCGGCGCGGCGCAGCAGAGCCGAGAGGGCGGCGCGGCGCGGCCGTAAGGCCAGCGCGACGTGGGGCCGAGGCCGCGCGCGCGAAAAAAAAAGGAGTCGCGCGCGCGACTCTCGGGGCGCCACAAGGGCAGCGCGACAAGCACTAGGGGGGAGCGCGCCTCGGGGAGAATAGGGCGCGCTCCGGGCAGGAAAAAAAAATCGTGGGTGGGCCCTAAAAAAAAAACGGTCCTTAGGAGGGACCCGCTCTATACCATGTGAAATGAATAAACAGGAATGAATAATGACTAAGTCAGAGTTGGGTACAAATACAACCCTAGAAAGCTGTACCCCATATGTGCTACCCCACTATAGCCTACAAACATGCATCAGTTATAATACTCTGACACTTAACTGTCGCGCTGTAATTGTCGAGTCAAAGGTTGCTGACCTTTGACTTTCCCGTAACCTCCAGGCGGTTACCCTAACCTCCGAGGTTTGACTCGATGCTTCGATTCGGACTGCTTCGCTAGTGTCTTGGGTTTTGACACGACAGAAGCGCACTAAGACTTATTGTTTCCAACACTCCCCTTCGCTTCTGGAGTGTCGCCGCAGGTGACGTGGCTTTGTCCAGTCAGCAGCATGCAGTATTCGAACTTCTGCTTTCCGAGCTTCTTGGTCAAGTAATCGGCTGCCATCTCAGACGTGGGACAGTATGACAGATCGAGTTTCCCCTTTTCGATCTCGTCCTTCACGAAGAAATAGCGCAGGGCGATGTGTTTCGTCCTGTTTGCGAAGCCGTTCTTGTTGGCGATGCGAATTGCTGACTGGTTGTCGCAGAACACGGTGAAGTTGGGTAACTCGGCTAACTTCGCTTCTTCCAGCAGTTCGCGAAGGTAAAGTCCCTCCTTGGTGGCTGAGCAGAGTGCAATATATTCTGCTTCAGCTGAAGACAGTGCGATTAACTCCTGCTTACTCGACTGCCAGGAGATAGGACCGATAGGCTCGAGGCGGTAGACATAGCCGGTGCGTGAGCGCCTGTTATCGGTGTCGCCGGCGTGATCGGCGTTGACGTAGCCGATTAGCTTGGTCGGTGTAGTTGCGTTTTTGTGATAAGTTAATCCGATCGTCGCGGTGCTGACGAAATAGTGGAGAGCGCGATCGAGTTCCGCCAGATGCTCTGCTTCAGGCTTCTTGAGATAGGTGGCGAGCTGGCTCGCGGAGTAGGATAAGTCGGGACGGCATGTGACTGCTGCGAAGAGAAGACATCCGAGCTTCTTCTGATAGTCGCGTATGCCGGCGGGCTTGAGTAGGGTAGATCGTCCCTTTTCGGTTCCTGACGTGTAGCGGTAAGGCGTGGAGATGGCGCTTGGTGTGAGGCTGAAGCGTTTCGCGATGGTGTCGGCGTACTTCTAGGCGCTTAGATAGATTGCGTTTTCTTCCTCGCGGATGTTGAGCCCGAGGTACTGCGTAACGGTAGAAGAGACCGTGAGCGTGAGGTCTTTCTGAAGCTCCCCTTCGAACCACGTGGCAATGCCGTCGGTTGACCCAATGTAGAGGAGATCGTCCACGTAGACGATTAGGAGAACGTAGTCACTTCCCTTTGTGAGGCGATACATGCCCTGGTCGTGCGGGAGTTGTTTGAAACCGATGCGAATGAGGCGGGCGTGTAGGTACTGCTGCCACAGTCGCGATGCCTGCTTGATCCCGTAGAGCGACTTAAGCAGTTGACAGACTCGGTTGGGTTCGCCGTGGGAGCCGTGCGGGAGCTCGACGAAGATTTCTGCATCTACAGGTGCGTAGAGAAATGCGTTTGCGACGTCAATTTGTCGCAGTTTCTTTTTCTTCATGGCGGCGACGGCGATGAGGATTCGGAGTGAGGTGTGACGGCTGACCGGAGCGAAGGTTTCGGTGTAATCTCTTCCGTGCTCCTGATCAAAGCCGCGTACGACACAGCGAGCTTTGAATTTGTCGATGGTGCCGTCAGCTTTCGTCTTCACACGGAAGACCCACTTCCCGGTAAGGATAGTTTTGTTTTGTGCTACGCCGATGGGAACGATTTTCCAGGTGTTGCGCTCCTCCAGTGCCTTCAGCTCTTTGTCCATGGCTTCACGCCATTTCTCCCTATGTTCCCCCTCCAGAGCCTGTTGAACCGTCGCAGGCTCCTTAGGAATGGCGGCGCCATGGACTGCGGTGACGAGACCAAGGATTTGCAGTCCAGTTTGTGAGTATCGAGGGAGTTCTGGATCCTCGGGATAAGCTGCTTCGTCTCCCACTTCTGGGTCGGGTATGAAATTTGGCCCTACCCTTTCTGCTTCGTTGGTGTTGACTGTCGCAGGTGTTACGTAACCATTGTCGGCGAAACGGTAGAAGACTTCGGCGTTGTTACTGTCGCGAGGATTTTCCTCATCCATGGGCACGTCGACGGAGCAGTACGGAAGAGGTCCGGCTTCCTCCGATGCGTTGTCGACGTTCTGCTCATCCCAGTCTGCTTCATCCGCTGCTGACGCGAAGGCTCGGTCACCACGAAAGCCACTGGTGAGGTCCCGATTCCTCGTGCAAGTTGGCGAGGTACGTTTGAAGGGTGAGTCGTTCGTAGAAGATCACATCACGTGCTGCTACTGTTTCTTTTGTGTGGACGTCGAAGATTCTCCACGCGTTGTAATTTTTCTCGATGCCGAGGTGCAGTCCCCACTGTGCCCGTTGTGAAAATCTTCCCGCTCGTGCTTCTGGGGGTCTGTACTGTACCATGCACCCGAAAACTCGTAACATTTTTGTGCTGCCCTGCTTCCCTGTCCACAGCAGATGCGGTGATGCGTTGTTCGGGAGTGACGACGACGACAACAAGTTGTGCAGCATGACAGCATGGTCCATTGCTGCTGGCCACTGGTGGTTGGGTAGCCGCATGCCACGAAACAGTTTGCGCATGCTGTTCTGCAGGGTCCTGTTCATTCTTTCTTCAACACCTTGCTGCTGATGTGCGTAGGGAAGGGAGAGGAGTTGCTTGATCCCCCTTTCCTCCAGGAACTGCTTGAAGCGCTGAGAGGTGTACTCGCCACCTCCGTCTGACTGGAAGCTTTTCAGTTGCGTTCCAGACTCTCTCTCTGCTATCGGTAGCCAGGCGGCGAATGCTGCGAGCGCCATGTCGCGGCTGGGTAGGTTACGATGCCAGACGTATCGAGTGGCGGCGTCGATGAAGGTGATGGTGTAGTTGTAGTTGACTTGTCCTGGTTCGCGATTGTAGAGGATGTCGCTGTAAACCTTTTCAAGTGGTGCGTACGCTGGTGCGCTCGGGTTGTGATGTGGAGCGAATGGTCGATGAGGTAAGTCAGCTTCGGGGCATGTAAGGCAAGTCCCTCGTGCCTTTTGGAGTTCTCTGCCGTCGGGTAGAAGTAGAGAGTCTTTGTCAAGAACTCCTGCTCTTATCGTGTTATTTAAAACCGTGTTGCTTGGATGTCCTGTGCGTGCGTGCCAGATCTCTTCAGAGGCGCGGTGTCCGGGTGAACGTTGGTATGCGTCGGAGTTGGAGTAAAAACTGGCGACGAAGTTGGCGCTTCGGTGGACTTCGCGTTGAGTCGGATTTAGCTGTTGTGCGGGTGTTGGTGGTGCCTCGTCGACTGTGACTGGTGTCGTTGTTCTTGCTGCTGCTGATGTTGTCGCTGCTCCCGATGTTGTTGCTGCTGCTGCCGATGTTGTTGCTGCTGCCGATGTTGTTGCTGGTGCCGATGTTGTCTCTGCTTCTGTTGTTTGTTGAATCGTCGCTAACGCTCGTGTTCGTTCTGCTTCAGGGATAGTGTGGGAGTACCAATAACCTCCCGGGTTGAAGTCGGGGTCGAGATCTGGAGGGTGTGTCCAGTCAGTAAAGTTCACGATGGCGTCGCTGTCTGCAGTGCCCAGGTCAGGAACGAAGTCGAGGACGAAGACGTTGTTCTTCAATACTGCTTTCACGATGTAGAGACCGCCTCTCCCGTGGTATAGCTTGAACTCTTGGGTGGTGCTGTCGGCTTCCAGGTGAATCCCCTTCGCCATCAACTGGCTAACACTCAGTAAGTTGTAACCGAGTCCTTCAGCGATGAGTACCTTTGACATGTGCAGTATGACATTTGTTTCTCTTGACTGAAGCTGTACCACTCCTTGTCGTCGTGTGTGCAGGTTTTGATTGTTGGCGACTGTGATGACAACTTCTCGTTGGAGTCGGTGTTCGCGTTGTACGAAGCGTCCGGACGAGCACATGTGTTGCCCGCAGCAACTATCCAAGAACCAAGTGTCTTGGCCGGACGGTTCACTTTGAGCGATGGCGCGCGTTTGCGGTGAGGTACGCGGCGCATCAGATCAACCTACACCCCAGGGTCTCCAGGCCGGAGACCTCCCCAGCCTTGTTGTGGACAGGGAAGGTTGGCGATGCGTCGGCGTTCCGGGTCTGGGGATCTCGGGCGTTTGTCCGCGACTTGTCTGCGGACAAGCTGTCCCCTCGTGCTGCTCCTTGCGTCTTCCTGGGGTTCCCCCCTGACGCGCTTGGGTGGCAGTTCTACCACCCCACCTCTCCCCGTGATCTGTCCTCCTAGGACGTCACGTTTGACGAGTCGGTCCCCTACTACTGCCTCTTCCCCTACCGCACTCCGTCCCTCCCCCCGCCGCCGCTCTTCCTTGTACCAGGTCCCCCTCCGGTAGACCCCCTCCCCCCTCAGGGTCCGTCCCCTTCAGGTGTGTCCCAGGTAGACGCAGTCGAGCCTGTCGAGGTCACTGGTGACTCTGGTGCTGCTGAGGGTGCTGAGCCTGGGGGTGCTGACTCTGGTGGTGCTGCGCCTAGGGGTGGTGAGCCTGGGGGTGCTGCGACTAGGGGTGCTGAGCCTGGGGGTGCTGAGCCTGGGTGTACTGAGACTAGGGGTGCTGAGCCTGGGGGTGCTGCGTCTGGGGGTGCTGCGCCTGGGGATGCTGAGCCTGGGGGTGCTGATCCTGGTGGTGCTGAGCCTGGGTGTGCTGAGCCTGGGGGTGCTGAGACTGGAGATTCTCCGGGTGCTTCGTCTCTGCGGGAGCCACTCTCTCCACGGGAGCTGCGCGAGTGGTTTGCCCGGCGCTGGAGGCATGCTGCTGGTGCTGGAGGTTCTTCGGCTACTGAGGGTGCTGCTGTCGCGGGTCCCGGCCGTGCTCATACTGGGAATACTGGAGCTGGTGGGCCTGCGGGTTCGACTGGAGCTGGTCCTGCTAAGGGTGTTGGAGCTGAGACTACTGCTGGCGGTCCTGCTGTGGGTACTCCTGGTACTGCTGGAGGTTCCGGCGCTGCTGGTGGTGCACCTAGAGCGGGTGCTCCTACTGGGGGTACTGGTGCTGTACCTGCTGTGTCTGGCGTCGCCGCGCGGCCTCGACCTACTTCGTTCCACTCCTGCAGCAGGTTCTTGGTCTTCCGCCTTCTACTGGTCCTCCACCTTCTTTAGAGTGTCCACAGCCAGTCCCATCACAGTTACAGTTGCAGCCTACCTCCCCTTTGCCTGCTCCTTCTCCCTACACTGGTCCTACTGGAGGTCTTACTGAGCATCGTGAGCCTGCGTCTCGCCCTGCGTCGCCTGTCCGTGCTGCTCGCGCTAGTAGTCGTGGTTCGCGTCGGCGTCCTCCTCCTGTCCCTGGCACGCACAGGATGTCTCTGCGCCGGTCCACTGCTCCTCTGCGTGCCCATTTGCCTTCTCCTCCTGAGTCCTCTCTTCCTGCACTAGCCGATCCGGAGTCGGACTCTCTTCGTGCTACCAGTCCTACTGTCACGCGTCTCCTGGCTACTATCGTCACTGACCCTTCTTTCGAGTCCACTGCTGTGTCTGCCCTAGTTGCTGAGCTCGTCGACTTTGCTGCTCGCTGTCGCCTAGACTACGCTGCTAGTCTTTTCGCTGAGTCTCAGTCTGTCTGTCCTCTATCCGTCGGGGGTGAGTGTGCCCTTGGCACGGACGTCCTTGAGGACAGGCAAGAGGAGTTCCAGTGCTTGGCCGCTGCTTCACCTCATCTCGTGTCCGTACTGCTTACCTCTGAGGGAGACCCGGATGCACTTGACATCCCGACTCCGCGCTCTTACGCGGAGGCGATAGAGGGTCCCTACTCTTCTCAGTGGCAGGCAGCTATGGATGCAGAGATGGCTTCCTGGAAGTCCACAGGCACCTACGTTGACGCTGTCCCCCCTCCTGGGGCGAACATCGCCAGTGGCATGTGGATCTTCAGGGTGAAGCGGCCGCCGGGCTCTCCGCCTGTCTTCAAGGCGCGTTACGTGGCTCGTGGCTTCAGTCACCGGCTGGGAGTTGACTACTTTCAGACCTTCTCTTCCACCCCGAAGATGACCACTCTTCGGGTAGTGCTGCACGTAGCTGCTCACCGTGACTACGAGCTGCACTCTCTCGAATTCAGCACAGCTTTCTTGCAGGGCAGCCTGCACGAGGAGATCTGGCTGCGCCGTCCACATGGCTTCACTGGGTCTTTCCCTCCTGGTACCCAGTGGAGTCTCCGGCGTCCAGTCTACGGTCTTTGCCAGGCGCCACGTGAGTGGCACGACACACTGAGGACTACGCTTGCGGCTCTTGGGTTTGCTCCTTCTACTGCCGACCCGTCGCTGTTTCTGCGCACCGACACTTCTCTCCCGCCGTTCTACATCCTCGTGTACGTCAACGACTTGGTCTTTGCCACAGCGGACACTGCTGGACTCGCCTACGTGAAGTCCGAGCTGCAGAAGAGACACACGTGCACAGACCTGGGTGAATTGCGCAGCTATCTTGGCTTGCAGATCACCCGGGACAGAGCACGCCGCACCATTACCCTGACTCAGTCACACATGGTGCAGCAGGTCCTTCAGCGCTTCGGCTACACGTGCTCCTCGCCTCAGGCCACTCCTGTGCCTACTCGCCACTCGCTCTCAGCTCTGCCTTCGGATGAGTCCGTAGAGTTGAGTGGCCCGTATGCAGAGCTTGTTGGCTGCCTCATGTACCTGATGACCTGCACACGACCTGACCTTGCATACCCTCTTAGCATTCTTGCACGCTATGTTGCTCCTGGGAGACACCGACCAGAGCACATGGCTGCAGCGAAGAGGGTGTTGCGCTACTTGTGCAGTACGTCGGGCATGGGGCTAGTGCTTGGAGGGCGGAGTCCAGTGGTCCTCACTGGGCACGCAGACGCTTCTTGGGCTGACGACCAGGCTACGCAGCGGTCGTCACAGGGTTACACATTCAGCCTTGGTTCCGGCTCTGTTTCGTGGCGGGCTACCCGCTCGTCTTCTGTCCTCGGCTCCAGTTGTGAGGCTGAGATCTACGCCGGGGCTATGGCTGCCCAGGAGCTTCGCTGGCTCACCTACCTGCTGACCGACCTTGGAGAGTCGCCTCGTTCTCCTCCAGTCCTGTACGTAGACAACAAGGCCATGCTGGCCTTGTGTCGAGAGCAGAGACTGGAGCACAGAACAGTGCACATTGCTCTTCGCTACTTCCTTGCTCATGAGCTACAGCAGCGTGGTCAGTTGCGGCTTGCGTACGTGGCCTCTGAGGCCAACACTGCTGATATCTTCACCAAGGCACTTGCGCCTTGTGATCATCAGCGCTTCTGCACCCAGCTGGGTCTTGTACCTGTCTTGCCTCACTTGCTCACCTCTTGACCTTACTTGTACTGTTACATATATATATACCTGCGCTTGCTGGTCTAGCCTTATATATATATGTACTCCTGCATGTGAACTGGCCTTGTGGCCTTGAACTTGTGCTCGGAATGTGTGGTGACTTTGTGATCCACCGTGAGCTTGCTTTGCTTTGCTTTGCTTGACTGGTCTTGTGACCCCTTGTTCTCCCCCACTTTGCCTATGGGGGTGTGTCAGAACATATAGCTTGTGCTTATTGTGTAGGCTATAGTGGGGTAGCCATTAAGGGGTACAACCCAATTAGGGTTAGTACTTGTACTCAGTTCATTCATAGTTCATTCATTCTTGTTTCAATCTTCTCACTTTGCAAGAACCGCGGTGCTTTTAAGGGAGGTGAAGGAAGCGGTGACGATCTTGCTGCATAAAAAAGGCGATAAGGATCACCTTAATAACTATCGCCCGATCACACTACTCAACTTCACGTACAAAGTGTTGGCGCGGTTCATGGCTGACAAAATGAAGAAGTATTTGGGGAGGGTGATATCGCCAGAGCAGTATGGCTTCCTTCCGGGAAGGCGGCTAACGGATGCAGTGGGTCTTGACGCCGACATCATTGACTCCGAGCGGAATAACAACGAGGACTGGTTCCTCCTGCTGGTCGATTTTAAGAAAGCCTTCGATTCCGTCTCGCGCGGCTAACTTTTCCGGACAATGCGCGCAATGGGCTTCCCGAATCGGTTTGTGAGATGGGCGGAGGGCCTGCACGAAGGGAACTTAAACGAGGCTGTTAGTAAACGGATGGATGGGAGAAGGTGTGGAGGTGATCTCCGGGGTGCGCCAAGGCTGTCCTCTCGCGCCTTACCTTTTCTTATGTGTGGTTGAGCCATTGGCGCAGACGGTCCTCAGGAAGAAGATGGGAATCAGCAAAGCAAGCGAGAGATTGGCGTACATTGGGTACGCATATGACACCACCCTGGTACTGGAAGGAAAGCAGCAGCTCATCGAGGCGGAGAAGGTGCTGGCGAAATTCGAACTGACCTCCGGGTTGGCGACAACCACTGGGGAATAATCTTGACAGGACGACGGGGCGATCACATAGCTTCAGGTGGGCGAAGAAGGATGAAGCGGAGAAGCTGTTGGGCGTGTGGATCACCCCTTCTGGGAGCTGCCTGCCAACATGGGAGAAAACCTCGGAGGACATATCGGGGAAGGTTAAAAAATGGGAGCAAAAATACCTGCCGACAACGGCGCGTACGGCGCTTGTTGACAGTTACACGATGCTGAAGGCGGCTATTCAAGCGCAAGTCTACTCGCCGCCGGCAAAACAGTGGGGGGTTATCTCCAAGACTTTCGAAAACTTTGTCTCCGGCAACAAGGCAACGGCGGATAGGGTTTTCCGTCTCTGGAGCAAGGAGCTGCTATACACCCCAAGGAAGCTAGGAGGAATGGGTGTGCATGACCCGGAGATGATCTTGGCGTGCCTCACGACGAGGAGGGTGGGGCTGCTAGCACTGGAGACTAATCAGCTGAAAAAAACACCTTATGGTGCGGGCTGCGGATCTACCCATGGGCATCGAGACTTTCTTCGCCCATGAGAAGCTGCTGAAGCATTGGGAGGGGAAGAGTACTCGCTAGAAAGTCGCGCGTGAGAATTTCATGAAAATGCCCCTTGGTATTCTCCTGGAGGCAGCTACAAGAGAAGCGGTGGCAGGAGAGCGGATTGTTTTCAACAAGCGTTTACTGCTCAACGGAACTACGCCGGTGGGAGGCCAGCAAGATGCGAAGTTACTGTGGGAAAAGCGCCTCGGCGATCTGATCAAACTCGGAGGTAGCGGGGTTCCGGAGCTAAAGAATTCAGCCACACTGGAAAGAGAGCTCGGCGGGAAGGGAGCAGCCAAGCTTGCAAGGAGGGCGTTTGAAGCTGCGCCCCAGGAGTGGAAAGAACTGCTGCTCAGCGCTTCCCCTCAGCCCTCCAACCCAACGGGGGATAGGAGGGTTCTCCATTCCGCAGGGCGCAAGCTCTCTGACTTCCCCATTTTTGAGAACGGAGGGATTGCGCCCCTGAAGCGGTTGAAGCTGCTTTGGAAGGAGGGGCAGAAGCCATCCGCTAAGCAGCAACTGTGGAAGGGCCGGTGGAGCGGGCATATCAACTGGAAAAAAACTATCGCCATCCGTGATTCCCTGGTCACATCGAGTAAGCCGAGGGATGTTCTGCTGCGGATCCATAATCTGAACCTGCAAGTGGGAGAACGGGTGGCTTTTTTGAGTAGCAAGCCGGTCTGCCCGTACTGTGGGGGTGAAGAAACTCTTGAGCACTGTTTATACAGCTGTCCCAAGATTCAAGTGGTGACGTCTGCGCTGCTAAAGTCTCTCCGCATGCTAAACAGTGCGCGTGCTGTGTCATCATTGAAAGACCTGCTGTTCCGGAAGGCGGGGACCAGCACGGCTTTTCCAGAAGCCGCGCTTACGTCTATTACGCTTCACCAAATGTGGGCAGAGCGGTGTGACGCTGTATTTCGGGGGAAGAAATTCCGGACGAGGCGGGTGCTCCGCCGTGTCGAGGCTGCTTTCCGCCTGCATGCACGTATCTACACGAGATCGAGGGACGCGGAGTGGAAGAAGCGCAGGGGCACGCAACATGAGGGGAAGTTTCGCCGGGTGTTGGAGAGCGAGAACAAGCTACTGTTTCGGATCAGGAATAAGAATAGCAAGTCGTGGACGTGGACGAAAGCTTTCTCGAATGTCTGGCTTGCACCGAGGATGACTTGCCAACCTCCTTAGAGGCCACACCTGGGGCGGCCACATGGCTTCCCTTCATGCGCAGTTATGATTGTTATTGCTTATGTATGCTTGCTCTATCGGTGTACATTGCAATTACCTAAAAAAAAAAAACGTATGCATGTGCGTGCGTATGTGTCTGTGTGCGTGTGTGTGTGTGTGCGTGTTTGTTTGTGTACGTGTACGTATGTGTGTGTGCGTGTATGTGTGTGTGTGTGTGTGTATGTATGTCTGTGTCTGTATCTGTGTGTATATGCGTATGTGTGTGTGTGCGTATGTGTATGTGTGTGTGTGCGTGCGTGTGTACAAACGAGCGTGCGTGCGAGTGTATGTGTGTGTGTGTTTGTGTGTGTGTGCATGTGTGTGTGTGCGTTTGTGTGTGTGTGTGTCCTTAGGTATGTGTATGTGTGTGTGTATGTGTATGTGTGTCTGTGTATATGTGTGTGTATGTGTATGTCTATGTGTACGTGTATGTGTGTCTGTGTGTATGTGTGTATGTAGGTGTATGTCTATGTGTACGTGTGTGTGTATGCGTATGTGTGTGTGTGTGTGCCAGAATCTGAATTGTGATTGACTATTGTGAGTTGGGGTACATAAACCTAACCCTAATAGCTGTACCCCATATAACACAGATCACTAAAGGCTACAACATTTGACACACCCCCATAGCCTAAGTGAGGGGTGTCAAGCAAAACCAAAACCGTACGGTCACAAGACCAGTCACAAAGAAACAAAGCTCAGGGTGGATCACAACATCACCACACAGTCCAAGCACAAGCAAAAGAGCCACAAGGCCAGTCCAAGAGTTCATAGAGGTATATGCAAAGTGTACAACAAAACAAGCAAAGTCTACACAAGACGAGAACCTGTATCAAAGAGGCCTAACTGCACACAACACCTGTGGTGGTCACAAGGGGGAAGAGCCTTGGTGAAGATGTCTGCAGTGTTGGCCTCAGACTCCACAAAGTCCAAGCGAGCTTGTCCACGCCTCTACAACTCTCGCAGAAGAAAGTAACTGATGTTGATGTGCTTCACTCTGCTCTCTAGTCGAGGCTCTCGATAGAGGAGAATCGTAGCCTTGTTGTAAGTAAACAAGGTCAGTGCAGAGCTCGGCCACTCACCAAGGTTTGTGAGCAAAAAGGTCAACCAGCGCAGCTCCTGTGCAGCCATGGCTCCAGCGTAGATCTCAGCCTCAGCGCTAGAGGTCGAGACAGAGGGGGAAGGCGTGAACCTCCACAAAACAGCTCCAGAGCCTAGGCTAAAGCAGTACCCCTGAGTAGACCTATGAGTCTCGGCGTCGTCAGCGTAAGAAGAGTCACAGTGACCAATAAGTACCACAGGCTATGTCCCTCCAAGTACCAGCCCCACGCTTGATGTCGTCGCTAGGTACTTTGCCACCCTCACAGCTGCTGTCTAGTGAACAGGACGGTGTCTCCCTGGTGCAACAAAGCGAGCAAGGATGCTGAGAGGGAAGGCGAGGTCCGGGCGAGTACAAGTAATCAGGTAGATGAGGCAGCCCACAAGCTCTACGTAAGGACCACTAGGCTCAAACGGCTCGTCAGGAAAAAGGACCTGTGGTCAACGGCAAGAGGTGTGCACTGTACTGTGGAGTGCTGAAGCTCGAATTGCTGAAGGACCTACTACACCATGTGTGACAGTGAGAGTATAATGGTGCGAGCGGCTCTGTCCCTGGTGATCTGCAGGCCTAGGTAGTGGCGCAGCTCACCAAGGTCAGTGCACGTGTGTCTCTTCTGCAGTTCGGACTTCACGTCAGCCAAAGCAACCC